AGCCTACATATGGACCTATCAAATCGGTGTATTCTCTAGCCAGTCAGACGTCAGAATTCAAATAACGAGGACGTGATGCAGTTCCGACCTGGGCTTCACCTCCAGCGGTAACACAACGTTTGTGCGTTGGCACACAAGCGACTATGGCATGGCAAGTCATAGACTTGGTATTAGGCATAGAGAAAGAATAGACAAGCGGCGATTGGAGCTAGTTGGCTGAAAGTAGGTTTTATATGGTCTATGTAGCAAAAACATGACCATTAGACTTACTCTGAGGCATTAGCCTCTAAGCAGTCACCCAGGTTAAGGGGATGAACGAATTAAGCCTCGAGTAGCACAGATGGGGGGAGGGGCCAGGATTCGAGTGAAATACATGTTCGAGGGAGATAGTAGTCGGATTCTACGAGGCAAGAGGGAGAATTTGATAGGACCCAGGGAAGGACTACGTAACAATATGACAGACTCTGGTCAACATTCCCAGCACAAGGGGGAAGGGGGTGATAACGACAGTGTGGAGTGTTAAGGGTTTTCATAAATGCCGCTCGAAGGAGCATACCACACTACATTAATAATAAGCACGGCAAAAATTGTGACAGAAGGCATGATAGGAGGATATAGGAAATAGCCCAAGGCAGAAGAGATGCCACAACTGTTTAGAGCACACGTTTAGTCAAAGAATGGGCTTCACTTGTTTCTTTGGCGAGTTGTAATATGGTGCTACGAATGGCGAGACTCACTCACGATGCCGGCGAAACGTATAGGAATGTACCACGTCCACGATTCTACTCTGGAAATGATGATGCATACAATGGACTCCGAACTAGGTGCGTTCCTCTAAGCCTTCCTACCAATATGACCGAAATGCGAAAACAAGGTCAAACAACTTATCTTCACCTCCATTGGTTTGAAGGGGGCTCTTGTCATCGCGTGCCGCTTTGCTGGCCGTATTCACACACCGTCGATGTTTGCTACTCTCTAGCATCAACAATTTGCCTCAGATCCCCAGTGGAATGTCTCGTTCGTACCACTTGCAGCCTGGACTGTGTTGTTTCGTCAATCTAGCAGCTATCGTCCTGGGCTTCAAGCCCGTACATCTTTACGTGCCTCTCCAAATGTGTGCCAAAATCTCGTACGCTTCTCCTTCCTCTACATTTGCGATGGTACAGGTGGGTCGGACCTCCTCGTGAGGAGGTCCGCTCTTAACTAGTGTTGCCTACGGCCCGGGCGAAATCTCCCAACAACCGCTTCGTTTGCATCCGCATCTTCAAGAAAACAATCCCCCCAGAGAATTAATGCGACTTTGCTGTAGAGTCGACTTAAAAGCAACCCTACTTGTCCTCGTTTAGCATCCGGGGTATCCTATTTATTAGCGCCGTCTCGACAACTCAAGTTCGGCAAGTTCCGATTTTAATACACAACCTTAATACAATATTATCCAGTCTTTCAACTTTCCATTAAGTCTCAAGGCAGGTCCGGAAGTACAACTCGCACAAAATGGAATCTGATCATAACAGACTGGGGCCACAGAAAAGTATGCCAACATCGTGCACTTTGTATACATACAATTTCCTATCGAAAATAAAATAAATGGAATGGAATAGATTATACATAATCCGCATAAAAGGGGAAAAGTAAATAGATGTGTGTTTACAAAGAGAACTGAAGATTAGATGATATTAGCGAGTGTCTAGACACACGAGCTAATTTCGCATTCCACAGCTCGCGGATCACTAAGATTGCACCTTTGCTAATGCGGGACGCAATCACGTGGCGCCAGGACTTTATGCCGGGCAAGCGAAGACGCCAGTAGGGCGAAAAAGTGAACAGAGTGTACAAGTAATTGTGAGTTAGAGCCGCCTGCCATTTGCAAATCAAACCGTAGCATCGACCTTGGTGCAAGGGCGCCGGGAAAAGTGATAATGCGGCCGTGATACCGAGCAATTCTGCGTCACCAACCAAAAGGGCCAGTCTGGTCAGAGTGGTGAGCAGTCGCAGGACATTGAGTGATTCTTCTTCCATCTGTGTATTCTCCCAAACAGAGCAGATTAGGCCAGTTAGCAGCAAGTGCAGTCGATATGAAAAACTGTTTGCAACGGTAATCTTCCGAGCAAGTGAGAAGTCAATTGGCCAGTCGGAAAGACATAATCTGTGACAGAGGCCGAGAAGCTCAATAATAGTTTCAGTCGACCCCCTAAGTGTAATAAACGAGAAATAAATAGTATCAGGAATTTTACTGAAAATTAATTTCGCATACGTTTGCAACAATATAAATTAGGGAAAAAAGAAAGAAAACAATGCAAACTCGATGAAAACATAAAAGTTAGAATAACACCCAAATGCTTACG